AAGTGCACATACACATGTATATATATATATATATATATATATATATATATATATATATATTAACACTTGTCTAACTAACTTAACCACCTACTTAATTCTAATTGGTTAAGTATAGTGAAATGACTAATCTACCCTCTAATGAGTTATGTAATACCTTTCTCAACAAATAACTGGCCGAACCGAATAGTTGACACCTCTATGTCTAACTAATCAGTTATTACACGAACTTAAAAAGGAACGACTAATAATTGAAAACCATATGCGTTAATTTTTTTATATATATGTTTGCCTTTTTGTGGCAACTTTGCCCTTAAGTTATGGTATATACTGTCGTATTTTTTCAGCATCCTTTCGATATTGGACTTTGAAGTTCTCATTTCGTATAGAGTAGCATTCCCGATGAACCATATTAGTATTTCCCCGGTCCATTTTAATTAATTTATTTTTGTAGTCTATAATATTTGATTTTTTCAGATATCAAGAAATAATTAACTTAATTTTTAAAGCTGCCATTGGAATAAAGAGCCGATAAGTATTTGTTGTGTTTTCAATGAACAAATTAAAGTAAATACGGTCAATTTTATTATTAATTAATGTTAAAGATGAATTTCTTAATATATATAAAAACAGATCAATTAAAGTGGATCGGAGGAAATGATGAGTAAACTTTTGTAAACAGTTTTCACAACACTTACCTGCAAAAAGGGGAACTTGGATTAAGACAGCCTTTTTCAAATTTCATTGCCATAATAGAAATACAGTTTAAAGGGCTTTCTTCATTGTAAATGACTTGGAACATGCTTTAGAAATTGATTATTATATTTAGTACACAGCTACAGATGTATTACAACGCATAAAAGGCCATAAGTTTCTACTTATCTGACACGTGTATGCCCTCAATTCCATATCCGAACGTGCTTTCTTCGCCTTTCGCCATTTCAGATTAGACCTTTAAGAAACATATATATTCACATTAAAACACTCCGACATCAAACAATCACCAGATCTATGCTACCTACAACGCATTGAAGATCGAGAAACTTCTAGAAGAAACCGGGAGCTTCGCAATGTCAATGGAGGAGAAGTTGATACAGCGATTGGAGTCGGCGGTGACACGGCTGGAGGCGCTATCAGCCACCGGCTTCCATTCCGGAGGTTCCGTCGGGACAGGCGATGATACGGTGGTTTTAGATCCGTCGATTATTGCATTTGACGATCTGAGGTCGGAGTTCCTCGGGAAGGTTACGAGTGCTGCGGAGAAGATCGGAGGAAAAGTATTGGATATTACTAAGATTGTTGAGAAGGCTTTCTCCGTTCAGAGAGAACTTCTCATTAAAATCAAGGAAACTAAGGTTAGGTCAATTCCATAATCAACTCATTATACCGTTTTGTTCACCTCTTTAGTATGTGTACAATGTATATAATATGTACTCGTTCCAATTTATGTGACATTATTTCCTTATGGATTCATGTTTTATTGTATACACTAAGAGTGCAAATATATTATTTTACACTATCAGGAATTTTAACTTGTAATGGCATATTAGTTACTCCCTCTGTTTCAATTTAGAAACACATTTCGCTTATCGAGAGTCAATTTAACTAAATTTTGAAGCTAAATTAAATTAGTTCAACTTAGTAGTTTAAAATTAAAATTTTGATATTCAAAAACTACCCGAAAAGTGTTATAAGTTACAATTTTTCTCATGTCAATACGATAACAAAATATATTTTAAAATATTGGTCAAACTTAACACAATTTGATTCTCGGTAAACGAAATGTTTCATCTAAATTGAAACGGATGGAGTACCGTTTTTATCCGCTAATTAATGCTTATCAAGAGATTTGTCTATAATAACCTAATAAGTGACCTGATTGTGTAAAAAAATTTAATACCATTACGTCGTTGCATATAACTTAAACTCTTTCCTTTCCTTATTAGTTTGTTCCAAAATAATAGAGTACTAGCACATTCCCATATTTGAAAAAAATAGTATTCAAAATTTTCATTTTACCCTTAATGTATGGCACGTTTAAGACCACAAGTTCAAAAAATCTTATAGTGGCAGAAATGTTATGTCGTGTTTAAGATGACAAATTTTAAAAGTCTTCCTTTCTTAAGATATCGAGTCAAATTACGTCAAATAAACTGGAATACAATGAGTGTGCAATTTCAGAATCATGATGTAAGTTTTGTTTGCTAATGTGCATACAATAGGGAAGCTGCAAAGACTTATATTATGCAATATGCATGTATTTTGGTTTTAATTGGAGTATCCATTTCCATATCGTTTGAGCACCATGACAATCTCTTTCATTAGACTTGTTTGGAGCATAGAAACTGTTGCTTGAACCACGTCGAAATAGCACAAATAAGAAATGGAATTGTGCTTGTTTTTTACTGAAAAGACGATCTGCTGTCCAAGTCTTCTGATTGAACTCTGTATTTTTTTCTCGAAAAAGAGGTGTAGGCACAATCAATTTGTATTTCATCATAGCAAGTGAGAAGTGTAATTTCTTACCTTTTACTTGAATGTTTGAAGTTTATGTGCATTAATTTAGTGAAAATACAGAAAGGTACTATTTAATAGTGCACGAAATTGTTTTCTTTATTGAAGATGCTTTTATTTGTCATAATGCTGGTGCAATTTTTTTCTTGATTGTGCAGAAACCAGACAACTCAGGTTTGGTTGAATTTCTCAAACCTTTGAATGATGCGATCGTGAAAGCTACAAGAATGACTGAAGGACGGCCTGATTTCTTTAACCACTTGAAGTCTGCTGCTGATAGTCTATCTGCTCTTGCATGGATTGCATACACTGGAAAAGATTGCGGTTGGACATTTTTTTATTGTTACGCATTGTAAGTCAAAGGGCACCTGTTGAACTTCTTATTTTTATTTTCTAGGCCTAAGCATGCCTATTGCGCACGTGGAAGAAGGTTGGCAGATGGCTGAATTTTATAATAACAAGGTAATTAGGCCTTTTCTAGCAGCTCAGATTCTCCTCTCAGTTGCTCTCTCTTGGTTGAAGGAAGCTTTAAAATATTGTTATAGAACCTGGACAAAATTAGGTGGAGAAGGGACCGTAGTTTGTTATCCCCTCATTTTTCTGGCATGATATGGTGGTTTTTTTGATTGCTTCTGTTTCTTCGCGGTTTGAGTGGTAGAACCACTTTACCCTTTCTCCCTTTTGCCTTTAAATGGCGTACTAAGAAGGGAATGCATTTTTTGTAGTCCCAGCCTTTATTGGTCCTTTCCCAGTATGTTGGGTTGCATCTTTGAGTGTGACATTTGAAAGAAAAGGCTACATTTATTGTTTCCCATCTGAATTAATGGACGCACATAGATGGAACCTTCCATATTGTCTGGAGGAGAATAGCAGGAAGGTATGTGAAGTGCCCTTATATTTCAGACTTTTCTTGGTGGTAAAGAGGGCCAAGGACTTGCTATCATTGGTGTCATACTTGAATGAAAAGGATACTGTTAATTATTTCCTTCCTGCTATTCTCCTCCAGACAATATGGAAGGTTCCATCTATGTGCGTCCATCTAAATGAATGGACGTATGTAAATGCAACATGTATATTGTCGGGAGGAGAATAGTTGGAAGGTATCTGAAAAGCCCACATATTCTATAGAATTTTCACGGTGGGGAAGAGGGCAGAGAACTTATTATTGACAATGGTTGCTCCAGCTCATTTAGAACACCAAAGAAACTACCAAATAATAAAAAGAAAAATTATAATTTTCAAGCTGCACTTATTTGTATTTTGCTATAGTACACTTTTTGGTCTTGCGAATTTATGCGTACTGTTTGGTTGGTACTACCGCCTAGAACATCTAGAAATCCTATCTTCTAACTTCTGTAAAATATTTTCAATATATTGTAGATTCTTGTGGAGTTCAAAAACAAAGATGCAAATCATGTTGAGTGGGCAAAGGCTTTGAAAGAACTTTATCTCCCTGGCTTGAGAGATTATGTTAAGAGCCACTATCCATTAGGTCCTGTATGGAGTGCAACAGGGAAAGCTGCTGTATCTGCACCATCAAATGCTCCTTCACCAAGTGCTCCTGCTCCTCCGGCTCCACCTCCAGCTTCTCTCTTCAGCTCTGAATCTCCTCAGGCTTCATCATCACGCCCCAAGCAAGGGATGGCTGCTGTTTTTGATGAAATTAATTCAGGAAAGCCAGTGACTTCTGGTAATTTCCCTTCCCACCCTCCTGTATAATAAAGATAGAAGTTTACCCTTATTTGAATATTTCCTTTTAGGATTGAGAAAGGTAACAGATGATATGAAGGCAAAGAACCGTGCCGACAGAACAGGCGTTGTTAATGCTGGTGAAAAAGAAGCCCACATGAGCTCACCCTATATCTCTAAAACTGGACCTGCAAAATTGGAGCTTCAGATGGGCCGTAAGTGAGTAAAGAATAGGCATCAATCTATCTCTATCTGCAATTTGCCTGATCATTTCTAACTTAGCTATCATGTTGTTGGTAGATGGGTGGTTGAGAATCAAGTGGGAGAGAAGAATCTAGTTATTGATGACTGTGATGCAAAGCAATCAGTATATGTCTATGGGTGCAAAGGTTCAGTTCTTCAGATCAAAGGTAACGTAATTCTTCTCTATAGCATAAACTGGACAATAATGAGGTGGACTTATGTTGAACTTGTTTTCCGTAATTGATATATTGGTGTCACACAGGAAAAGTCAACAACATCACAATTGACAAGTGCACTAAGATGGGAGTTGTATGTGCGGTCAGTGATGAACTTCAAGAAAAGTTGATTAAATATTGAGGTTGACTAAATGGCTTACCTGATAATCTAAATTTGGTGAACAGGGTGTAGTGGCAGCTTGTGAGGTCGTCAATTGCAATGGTGTGGAGGTGCAATGTCAGGTATCAAAATTTATGGTTCAAAACTTATATAATGGCCTTGAAAAGCAAAGTGTACTAAAATATGAGTATTGATAATTCTATTATTATCTTATCACGGCACTAATGTTAAATCTCCTTTTATGTGTGCTGCTAGGGCTCGGCTCCTACAATATCAGTTGACAATACAACTGGGTGCCAGTTATACTTGAGCAAAGATTCTTTGGGGGGTTCTATTACCACAGCTAAGTCAAGTGAAATCAATGTTATGGTTCCTGGTGCAGGGCCTGATGATGATTGGGTAATGCATTCTTTGTATTTTGAAAATGCATGACGTTCTTTGTCGTATTTTTCCTTTTATTTTGGCCTTGCTGCTTGTTCCTAATGGATTTCACTAAAGCAAGCAAGTCTAGCATTATCATCTGCAAAAATAATCATGGTTTCGGTGCCTCTTCAGTTCTTTAAATAGAGATTAAACTGTAGCTTAGGAAGCAAAAGGGTGAAATTCAAATACCAGATTTCATGGTTTAGATGACACTAGTTTAAACTTTAACGTATTCACATTGTTACAGGGTGAGCATGCTTTGCCACAGCAGTATGCTCATGTATACAAGGATGGACACTTTGTGACTACTCCTGTCTCCCACTCTGGAGCTTAACTGGTGAAAGTTTCTACATCCAGTTGTTTTACTTTTTATTTTATTTTTTAAATCTTTTTGTTTACTAATTTGATTTATTGGAGAGTTGAAAGATGGTCGATTCTTTTTTATTTATTTATTTATATATTACTGTTAAGGTATGTTTTGTACCTTGTGCCATTTCTTTTTCCTGGAGTTCCTGTTGGCAGTTTGTTCAAAGTAAGGGGTTTTGTGACTTTTCTGTTTGTCACATTTTTTGTTATTTGTATGAGAGCTTGACCTTTTAAAGCTATCTCTCTTTTGTGGAATATTATATATTTTTCACATCTATGTAATCCTCCACTTAATATTTCAAAATAGAGAAGTCTCCTTTGAAACCCGTGGTCTACAATCAATTTGTTCCGTTAAGCATATTAGTTGTGTTCTTACCTTTTTAAAGTATGTAAGATTTATTTGGTTGTACTTTATGCTGTTATATCTACCTTTTCTGGATCCGGCATATCCAGAAATATTGTTTAATTGAGGTTTTAAAATTGCGCTAAGTTTGTGTGTGTGGTATGTCGAACTAGCTTTAAGGATGTGGAAACTAAAGCTATGTAATCAAAGAGCCATTCCCTGTCTTGCAACCCACTTACTACCTAGGATTTCCACCCGTCTGGAACACACCTAGAGCTTGACTAATTGCTTCGGCGTGCTGTAGTTACTTTCTAAATTATCTTTGATCATTTGTGAACAATTAAGAGGAAATGTAAAATCGAGATGAAAAAGAGTTTCAATATTCCCCTCCTCATTTGGGTTAATGTAAAACAATTGGATCTGTAGTTTCAATAAATGAACAATTAGCTTCTTTTGGGTTAAGCTTCTCAAAAAAGAGTTTTAGCCGTCTCTGCATAACAACTCACAATGTTCCCCACCTCATTTTAATGGTGATATTATAAATCCCGAGCTTTCAATAGAATCATGCAGCACTGGCTTATGTGGGGATTAAAGTTCTGGGAGCTACTGGCACAATCCCTGACTGGTGGGTTAAGTGGAGATCAATGAAAAGTCGCTCAACTATGTTCCGGGTGAACTCTGTTTCTTTATCTATTCTGAAATAATTTTTGTTTGATGGATTAATGAATCAGTTATGCCATTATGATCAAATTTGTCTAAGTATAGCAGAGTTAATTAAACTTTCTTTAATTAAGTTGCCGGATTAATCATCTAAAAGGCTTAATTACGTCTGATGGCAACGGTTAGGTCCGGACATTTTAAATAGCTTGACGATTGATAGCTTGTCTGGCCAAGCTTCTCCAAGTTCAAAAGCACATTTTTTTTTTTAAATTTGAAGTGTTTGGTCAAGCTTTTAGGAGAAAAAAAGTGTTTATGAGGAGAATAGAAGCAGTTTTGGAGAAGTAGAAAAAAATAGCTTCTTCCCAGAAGCACTTTTGAGAAAAACACACTTAGAAGCACTTTTTAAAAGCTTGGTCAAATACTAATTGCTGTTTAGAAGTACTTTTAAAATTAATTAGCCAAACACAAACTGCTTCTCACCAAAAGTACTTTTGAAAAAAACACTTCTCAAAATAAGTTGATTTTTCCAGCTTGGCCAAACGAGCTATGAGTCTTGCAAAACAGATTACGCATTAACAATAGAGCATCATGTTCAGTTGTACCATTAATATGTCTCCAAGAATAGCAAATATTTTCAAACTCTTCTGCAATTCAAGTTTATTTCGTGTGGCGTAAACTCATCGAATGAGAATCATATGATACTCTTTTAGTCAGAGAACTGTCATACGCTATCAATTTCATAACTAATTAACTAAACAGGACAAACAAACCTTAAATGTTCCTTCCCTGACAACACGCTTGATGCCTCAATATAGTTAGAATATAATTTGTGTACAGGGATAGTCTATAGAATACTAAGACTTGGTAGTGTTTTAATATGTCGTTAACTGTCTTTTTTTCTCGGATAACTTGTGCGTAGTTATTTTGTAAATGACCTGATAATCTAAAATTCTTTGAACTCATACAATTATGTGCGCCACTTGAAGTTTAGGCGGGTGTTTAGGGGTTGGGGTTGGGCGAGCCTGCTCCTTAGTCTTTCCGTTTTTTCTCTAGTTTTTGGGATGTGGGGGTCCGTTGGTTTGGAAATAAAAGTCAAATATTTGCGATCAATAATATTTTACCGTTATTGTACACATGTATTTCTTTTACACTTTAGAAAATCGTTGCATTTTGAAACTAATTAATGATTTGTAATTAGTTGAATCATTATGGCAGTTGTTAGATAGTATTCACCACGAAGGTAAATGAAAGCAGTAATGGACATTAGGGGTGTACATAGGTCGGGTTGATTCAGATTTTTCAATTACCAAACCAAACTAATGGTGTCGGGTTTTTAAATTTATAAATCAAACCAAACCAACAAAGTCGGATTTTTCAATCTCGGGTTTTGCGGGTTTTTTTGGGTTTTCGGGTTTTTTCGATAAAGGTTTCATAGCACAAAATATGTAACTTGTGCTCCAAATATTTCTTTAATCCTATTAAGATACAATTATATAATGTATTTTTCAAGAAAATGACATAATAATATGAGATAAGTTGCATTATACTAAAACTACTAAATTACATTTGTAAAGAACTTATTAAATTTATGAGCTTTTATTTCATCATTATATTCAAAAACATATTTTAATGATTCTTTTTAATTTTCAATTTTAAAATAATGGATTTCAAATTTTAATCCACGGGCTTATTTGGTATGAGGGATAAGGAATAATTAATCCCAGGATTAAATTTGAGATAAGTTTATCCCATGTTTGGTTGGGTTAAAATCACGGTATAATTAATCCAGAATTAGTTATACCGGAATTGTAGTATTGTTATTATCCCTGTGGGATAACTTATCCCAGAATAACTAATCATGAGATAACTTATTTCCCAACCAAACGACCCTGATTTTTCATTAACTCTTCGTGACAAAAGACTTGGTTCTTAGGAAATTAGCATGTCAATCCAAAAGGAAAAGAAGACTACTTAAATTAGCACCATCGAAATATTACCTATTGTTCTTATTTGTTAGTAATGTTCTTTTATTGTTTTAGTCCCCATAGTGGGCAACATTATACATCTATCGAAAAGTTGTATGAATATTTGTCTGCAGTATAACTTTTACTTCTATGTTGAAGTGTTATTTTGTTGTTTCATTCTCTATTGTGGTACATTTATATTTAGGAATGTGTTTTTGTCAAATATATTTTCTATAAATTGCATATTCATCAGAGTCGGGACTTTTCTCCTATTTAAGGTCTTTAGGCAATCAAGTTAATCTATACATGTAGCTTAAGGCATTTGTTTCTACCAAAGAAACGAAAAAGTAGCATTCACTATAGCAGTGTATGCTTCTTCGTGGTTCCATATCATGTACAGTCAATCGTGTAATTATTTTGATTAGAAAATAGGAGTACTACCATCACATATCTCTCTTTCTGCAAGGAAAAGAGAGCAAATTAATATCTAAATTTGTCATCTGATTCCAACATTACCATTCCAAATATTACATGGAACGTATAACTTTGGGTGGAAGTCTTTATGACAAAATATGAATTTATATAGGCAAAATGGAGGAATGTCATAAAGTGTCATTAACTTACAAATTAAAATTTGACAGTTATGGATACGAAGAGTTTTATGGATAACGAAGTTAAAGAGGTGAGTTATGTAGCGGTACTTTTAAAAGAAGATTACTGAAAAATGAGAGAAAAAGTACCTTTGATGGCTTATAAGATTTGCCATATAACCGATACCTTAGTCGGTCGAATAAACCAGTTTCTATTTGTAGGTTATTTTCTCTTTTGAATTTATAGAGAATATTAATGAGATTTGAATGGAATGAGAGGAAAAAAATAACACACAAGAGAATTCAAAGGTATAAAAGTTGACTTAATATAAACACTAAACTTATATAGTGCAAAAAATATTTCTTCTAATAATAATCACAGAAAAATCACATTAAAGTAAACATATCTAGTTTATCTATGCTAATAAAAAATGATAAAGAGAACTTTTAAATTATGACTTGCTATCTCTTCCCATTATAAACAGTAATTTCAAATGCATAGCTTTTTGCAGAAGTTCGTAAGATCTCATAATCTCAATTTATCCATTGAAAGATTTTGATATATCAATCACTAAAACTTCCTTCTATATTGGATGTTTCCTCACAGAAAGAATGAGACTATAGATAACAACATATTAATCCTTGTTAGAAATAAATAATCAAAAATGGCTTTGAGGCGTGAAAATCGACTGTCCTTAAAGAGTTATCGCCTGTATACTGATTTAGGGAAATACAAAACGATTCTCTTCAGGATATATCAAAGCCTACAATAACATTTGTGATTTTCTATCACTTTGTTGGAAATTCTTGTGTATTTATAGGCAGCGAACAGACCCTTTCAGAAAAGATGTCTTGTTTCACAAACAGACATGACTGTTTATTTGAATTTTTAAAATTTAAAATTCAAATAAATTAATTTTTTTGTCAAAAATTAAAATAATTAATTTTAGGATTCGACCCGGCCCAAGCCCCGGCTTCCAAGTCCAAGTCTTTGATTATATATATATATAACGTACCAATATATAGTGTCCTTAATTGCAGACACTTAAAAGTTTTAAGTATGTGTCTTAAATCAAAACATAAAAGGGACAAGTGTTTTTAAGACTCCAAAAGGACCTTCTCTCACAATCCCAGTTTCCAACACTTAATAATAACAAACTATCTTACAATCCTTACATCAATTCCCATAAGCCTTCCCTCCATCCAAGTTCACATATATACCGCAAAGACATTTCTCTGCTGGCTGATATCCCAATAAAAAGGAACCCCTAGCACATTTGTAAAGTTCAGTGAAGTTACTAAACCAAGAAAGAAAAGTTTTTTAAAATGTGGAATACAGTCAGTAGAAGACAAAATGAAGATGGTAGATCATCAATGAAATAAGAGATTAAATGTATAATCTGCTAGAAGGAAAACCCAATAACTTGCAAGTGAACATATTAAGAATTATTTAAAATGAAGCAACAAAACTATCTGGTATTCAGAAGATAAACAGTATAGCAACATCTGGAACAACTTCTCTTCTGAAACGGCTTAACAAAATGCAGAGAATTACTAAGAAACATATCCACATCACTTAAGTTTTTAAGAACTCTGAAAATGTTTGTCAGCCTCCCAAAAAACTTTACTATATACTAATAATGGTAATTATAAGTAACGGAAGAAATAATAGAGACAATGAGTTACTTTCGCAACGGTTTCGAAACAAAACGATTTATGG